TAAATTTTGTTATTGATTCCATAAGGAAATGATATTTTTATCATTTGGGACAATATATCATCTTTTTTATAACATGCTCGATCACAAAATATGCAATCCGTTGATGATGACAAAATTTCTCCAACATACTCTGCCTCTTATTTGGGAATAAACTATTAGTTGATTGAACAAAAGAATAACAACAAAATATCATCATCATCATAACCCCCACGGCCCTTATCCAAACTATTTGGGGTGAAAATCATGAATACTAATTTTCCACTTTTTCAGTAATGTATGATGAATTTCATCTTCTTCTGACAATACAAGTCTTCAAACTCTTGATTTCTTTTTCCCTTGGAATGAACTCTCAAAAAAATATTTTTGTTGTTTATTGTTATACTCACACATCTGAAAATGGGATTTATAATTTTGTGGGGAAATTAACTATAATGTTTTTAGAAGCACAAAAGAATTATACGGCCCTTTATTCTTTGATTAAGGACCTTTTGCTTATCTACTACACACATTATTATCTTTGTCCGCAACTAAAGGTAGACAAAGATCTTTACAAGCCCATTCCGCAATATTACAAATGGTTGGATCCACCATTTGTCCAACCATTTGTATGATGATCTAAACAATAACAATCACAACCCACAAAACTATAGTCATTCCCCATCGAAGCAGTGTGCATGCCATAGGAAGAAAGCTAACAGGTAACCTACCAAAAAGCTCTAGTTCAAGAAATATGTTCCGTAGTTTCCAAGGTATATGTCAAAAATTTAAGTCCAGCCTTTGACCTTCTTTAAACTAAATATCCTCAAGCTTTGAATTTGATCTCTAATTTGCCTTGCAACCTCCTTATTTAAGAATTGTATCATGTCTAATCATTTATAAGGTTGTAACTGGCCCTCTGTCCTACCTTCAACTAATTAAAACTTTGGAATAGGTTTCTATCCTTAAAAAAAGAGTCATGCTCACCCATATGACTTTACGTTACAGTCCATAAACAAGCCAAGACATAGTACACCTGAAATTGTTCTAAGACCCTGCATAAGTTCTATGTTCAGCTCCTTTCAATTTTTACAAACCTTGAAATGTGCCATATGTTACGGTTCTGGCCGAACCATCCAAACCGGCCCAGGTGGGCCCAATTCATTCCTATAGGAGGCGGGCTAAGCGGCCTCCTTTGATGGCCGCCCAATCACGTGGGCCCCCCTAGGGTGGCAAGGAGAGAGAGGGAAGGGGCATAAGGAAACTATTTGAATTAATGTTTGTTTTAGGAAATCTTTTATTAGCTTTTATTAAGAATATCTATATTAAAAGAGAGGAGGAGGCTAGGGTAAGGGTATGCATGATTTGAGTGATTCTCTTGGAGTTCTCTTAGGGTTTTGGGCTCTAGATTAATCATCTAGAGATTGGGAGAGACGATCCTCCTCTCGAATTGAGGATCATTTGTATCTTTGTTTCGTTCTTGTTTTGCTTTGTTTTCTATAAGAATATCTATCGTTTGATTGTTTTTCCACCCTATTTTCTTCCGTTTTCAAGCTGTTTTACCGATTATTGTTAGGTTGGCTTATGAACTCAAGTATTTCCAATCACCATACTTAGACATAGCCCTAAAAGCATGTCCCAAGGTTATATTTCTTCATGTCTATTAATAAAAAAGAAAATTAATGCAATTTGGGCATGGTCTAATACTATACCAAAGCTTACACAGCCCTTAACATGACGCCCTTTCCCGTGCATTCCACCAATATTTACATAAAAATGAATGTATTTTTCATGTTGTATGTACCAAAATTTATCATATCAGGAACCAATACACCATCATCATCACGCAGCATTAGGGAACTTATCCCAACTATCTACGGTCAATCATTGTTAATCAATGCAGTGCTAATCATTTTGCAAAACTTCCACTAATTTCATATTTGATCTACTCAATTCTCTTCCTTATCCTATCAAATTAATCTTAGATAACTTATTAGTACATTTTCTATACTTTCCTTGCACATATCCAAATCACACAAACCTAATTTCAACCAACTTATCTTCAATAGATGGTGCGCTCATAACCCCAATAATATAATATTTTCTCAACCTAATATAATAGTCGCACCACATACCTATCTATAAATTCACATGATATCAACAATTTTATTGCATAATAATCATATCCATACAACACAGCCAATCTAAAGGCAATTTTATATATTTGACCTTTTAAATTTCCATAATATTCTCTTAAAATATAACATATCAAAAACACTTATCCAATCTCACCACCCATCCCTTACCTAAAAAGCCATATCCTGATCAATATCCCCATTTTTTTTTAATAATTGACATAAGTTGCTTGGATCTATCACACATACGTATCAATTTACTCCTAATAAACATTGATAAATAACATATAGCATATCAAAAGCACTTCTCCAATCTCCTAGGCCTTTTATCTTCTAAGAAATTTTTCCCTTATTCTATTTATTCAATTAATTCAATGAGGTCTTACCAATTAAAATAATGCAATCATGTATCATTTCCATTCATCAGCAAATTTATAAGCAATACGAAAAGATTGAGGATAAATGTTGTGTCAATAAAATATATTTCTAAATAGCAAATAGTGCATCACAGCACAAAGATCTAATGGAGTCATAGCACATAACATGTTATTTTAAAAATAGTGTGAATGATATGTTTAAAAATTGAATAATTTTTTTTTAATTCAATAGTATAAAAGAAAAAATTATATTTATGCAAAACAACACTGTCAATCACAGATTAAACTGAACATAATCTTGCTTTAACAAATCAAAAACATACACGAAGGGTCCATGCATATTTACTATTATAAAATAAATTTCAAGTAGAAGTCATTGGAGTTCATTACAATATATAATTCAAGTGAAAGCAATGAGTTGGGGAATAGAAAGGTGAAGCAACAAGACCAAGAAATAGTTTCAATCAACTTGAAATTGATATGACTAGGTATCAATTCTTGACCTTACTATATTAATTGAAACCATATCAATCTTCTATAGAAACATCTTTGATCCACAACTTAACCTTAGAGATCATCCTTTACCTAATCACTTAGTTCATTTATTTAAGATTTTAGCTTAGTTTGAGCATATAATAAAAAGGTAAATCAAGATTATAATTAAGAAGGGGAAGAGAAGTGGATGCATAAATTTAGTCCATTTAGTAATCAAAATTAATTAAAAATGGCATAATTTGTTAATTCTTTAAATAGATGCATAGTTCAGCCATCACATAAGATATATTTACATTTTTTACGAAGTTTCCAAGATACTCATATCCATATGGTAGATAGTAAAACAAGGCCAAGTATGAAAATGCAAGACATTTCAATAATAGGGAAAGCTTTGGTGATTTAGCTTTGATATGCCTTGACATGCAAATAGCGTAAGAGGTGCATCTAAATTTATAATAAAATGTTTGTTGTATGGATGAAAACCTAAAAACAAAGCTCATCAACATCACCATTAGCCTCAACCCAACTATTTGGGATTGACTATAAATTGGCATTCTCCATCTGCCCATGCTTAATTTTCCATAAGATATTAAAACTATATTGTACAAATCTTTTCACATACCTAAATCTCAAGAATCATTCTCAAGAAAATGATATTATAATTTAATTTAATTTAACTTAAGATAACACTAAAAAATATAATAAAACACATAATGTCATGACTTCATCCAAAATTTACCCAAATATCTGACTTACATGTCATTGCATCCATAGGGACTATCATTAGGGTTTCCCATTGCAAGAATAAATGTTTTATTTCTAATGTCCTTTTATTTCCTCAAAGTTTTGAAAACTGGAATATAGCAAAGGGACAACATGTGTAAGAGGGGAAAAAAAATCCAAATGTGAACCATTAAACAAGTAAAACATGCCAATATTAGTCCATAATATTTCTAAAAATTTTGATAATTTAAACTGTTGAATTTGAAATAAGAATATATTTATCATAATGTACATAATTGAGCTTCTTATGCATGCACACATTCAAGCATAAGCATGCAACATGCAAGCAAACACACACAGCTTTTAATTTCCTACATAACAATCTATCTAGAATTTTCCATGTCATGAACATGATAGATAATAAATTACTCAATGAAGGCATGCATGTCATGTCAATAAGCAATTGATAAAAAAAAGAGTATGAATAAAAGTACCATATAAAATATTTTAAAAGATGGCACTTGTCCTAGTAATAAAACCAATTCACTTCAAAAAGCTGTTTGTCGCATGAATGCTCAAATCAGGGAGAATTAGGCTTTCGTTTGGGACTACTTTCTTACTGCTTCTTAAAATATTTTTTTAGTAAAAAAACTTAAATTTTTGTACTTAAAAGCTATTTTAAGAAGCAGTAAGAAAGCCGCCCCAAACGAGAACAATTATTACATCCTCTGACCTGACGTAGAGTCTACGTTCGGCGCAATACAGTCGCCAAGTGCTCTTATTCTTTATCGCGCCCCGACGACTTGACCCGGAGCGGAACCGGATGCTATGTTCGGAGATTTTCTCGGTATTGCTCGGTATTTGCTAGATATTGCTTTGCAAAAATTGAGAAATACCGCTCTGTGAAGACCAATACGAATGGAATACCGAGTTGTACGAGTTTTTTTATCAACTTGATTACAACTGTATTTGCTAGGGATTTGCTCGGTATTGCTAGGGATTTGCTCGTATTGTAGGGTATTGCTAGAAAAAACTCGGTACAACTCGGTGCAACTCGGTATTTGCTCGGTATTGGTTATTGCCGAGCAAAATCGACCAATACCTAGCAATACAGAGCAATCTTGGGTCCGTTCCGGGTCGGGTTGTCAGGGCGCGCGGTAAATAATGAAAACGCGTGGCTCGATTCTACTGGCGGCCGAACGTAGAGTTGCGTATGTTCACCGGACCAAATAAAAGTTCCCCAAACGAAGCCTTAGTCATCAAAATCACCCAAATTATTAAAAGATGTGTATACCTCAGGATTCAAGTGAATAACCTTCTCAATAGCATCCTGCACATTACCAGACTGAACAGCCCTTTTGACAGCCATGCGGTCAGCTATTGTTGCAAGATTTAATTCCGCTGTGTAGAACCAAATAAAAAAAATAAGTCAGATACATTCTTAACGGCATGATTGGGAAGCTCATTCAAAGAGACAAGCCAAAAGAATTAATGCACAATACGCTCGGTGCCCGATTCGATTCTAAATTTCTCAGCAGCATCAACGTAGCCTTCCGTCACTAGAAAGTTCATCACTAACTTGTTCATATCCTCTTTCCTAATCTTCACATCCTTAAGCTTTTTCTCCCACTCCTCCCTCGTAATCACCTTCTTGGATGTTGACTGCACAGAAATTGAGAGCGCTGATATCTAAAAAGAGTATGCTTGTTAAAATATATATAAACTCCACAACCTTCTATGCATTATCCCACTCCTCCCTCGTAATAATGATTTGCTCGGAAAAAATATATCTCTAGGTCATACTCAAACTCTCAAACAAGCATACGGATTCTCCCTTGCAAATCAAGATTCTCGTATCTCAAACTTGAATAAGAATCGTTAACAAGGGAATAAAACGGAGAGCTTTACCATGGCTTCAATGGATTCGAACTGGCTGGGGATCATCCAGAAATGGTACATCACCTAACCTGGCCAGAGATCATGGCGGTCGAGAGAGAATAGTCACCCCTGTTGCAGAGAAATTGATGATTTGAGGTCGGATCAAAAACGAAGAAACTCAATGAAATTATGCAGATAAGCCCTAAAAAGAAAGTTTATTTATTTATTTAGAACCTAAATTTTATTTAAATGTTAATCATTTTATTTTTTTTTTCCTAAATTTTGACTTAGTTTTAAAAATCTTGTCTAAATTTTAAAACTCTCGATCATGGCTCGTGAGCCGACTCGAGCTCCTGTCAATCTCGACTCGACCGAGCTCACTTTCCAACTGACAAGCCGAGCTCGATAAGGTCTAAACTCGACTGAGCTCACTTACACCCCCAGATTCAGTTGAAGCGATTAAATAAGTTATCTGAGGAAAATTATTTGATATGATTTGTTTAGTCCAATTAAATTTGAAAGAATTTCCATACATATCTTCAAAAATTAATATGATCTAAATATTCGAATAATATATAAATATTAAATATTAAATGTATAAATATATAAAAATTTCGTGATATATATATCTAAATACCTCTAAATTTTAATAAATTCTTTTTAGCAGTATCTAAGAATTTAAAATTTTATATGATTATGACATCTTATTGCAATTTTTTCAACCTAAATCAAATTTAATTAGGTTAATTAAATCATAATTAAATATCCAATTGATTGTTAATTACTAATTTATAAAGCTAATTAAATATAATGATTTCTATTTACTCAAATTAAATAAAAAATCATGCAAATTTTTGTAGATAGTATTTTCAACAAATTAATAATTATCACTAATAAATTACAAAAAAAAGTTCATCCTATCAAGCAATGATCTCCATGCAAATATTAGAATTATAAATTTTTAGGATCAAATTTTGGACCATTTCAACTTTATGTTTTACAAATTAATAGTAAAATTGAGTTTTTTAACACGACAAGCCAATGATATTTAATATTACTCAATCCAAATCCACTAATCTAAATCAATAAATCTAAATTTAAAAACCCACCAACATCAACAGGGCTTTTACACAACATTGATGTCCATTGATATTAACAAAATTATGGTACATCATCGTTAATAATGTTGACAATACTACAAGCAACAATGATATTGGCCTCCATCCATAATAACTTCAACGCCCGTCGATGCTAATAAGATTTTTGCTCAACATCGACAACACCGACTTCCATTAACGCAATCAAGATCATTGCTTAACATCTCCCTCAGCCTTGATCCATGGCCTCATCGATAAGATCAATGGATCACACTATCAACATCAATCTCATTTGCTATCAATGCTGCCATCGAGGACAATATTGGCATTGTTTAACACTAAAAATATTATCATCTTCCATCACAATCAATGTTGACGTATATCGTTGTCAATAATACGGATATCAATCGTGGAACTCGCCATCAACAAGTTGAAAGATCTTCATTGACACTAACATTGATGCTTATTATATCTAAACTTGTCGATACTTTCCTTCTCGTTATCTAGTCTCCATATCACTAATGATTTCTATAATCTCTTCAATGCCTCTAATCTCTTCCAACTTTCATCACGAAAAAAATCTTCCATAATTCTTGTATACTATATTTTTTTCTAATTCATGATCATGACTAACATTAATGGCATCATTTTTAAAAATTAGTTATATGTTGAGTGGCAACCTTGATTTGATCCTTCAAAGGGTATTCATGTAGTATGTGTAGGTACAATTATATCCAGTTTATAGTATTATCTAAAGGTTTATGTGCTCTGATTTTTTAATATAAATGCATTGACAAAATATTTTTGGATAGCTCTTAAAGTATATTTTCAAACAATTTTTGTATAGATAATTATACAAAAGTGATTGACTACTAATAATATAGTACTATTCCACTGAATTTTTATTATGATAGATTTAACCTAGAAAAAAAATATTTAGTACTTCACGGCATTATAGAGTACTCTATTTATTAAAATTCTTTATTTTTTGGAGCATTATAGATATGAAAACAAAATGTTACTTATTCAAATAAAACTCATATGTCGTTTGGGTTTTTTGAGATCATCATGTATCCATTTTGTAGGGGTGTCAATTTTTTACACGACCCAGACCCGATCTGAAAAAATCCTGGTTTGGGTTGACTCGATTAGCAATTGGGTCAGGTTCGGATTCTGATTTTTTACCCTTTTCAAAAATAGTTCGGGTTCGGGTTAACCCGGAAATCCGAAATCAACCCTACAATGACCTGAAAGTTGGAGTAGATTTTGGATTTCTGCCTGCACTCGCATATTCCCGCCGACTCGGACTCCGCCGCCGCACTCTCACGAGTCTCCACTCCGCCTGCACTCGCCGACTCGCGGTCCATTTCAGAGGTCTTTCAGCTAATTTCATCAATCAAACAAGTTGAAAAAAATATAAAACTCCAGATAAGTTGCATTTACCCTATGTTAATTTTTAATAACTTTATTATTTGTAAAAGTTTGTATATTTAATTTGAATAAGCTAAAAAAAATCAATATCACATTAATTGAGCAATTTTTATCACATAACTTTTAGTAAGTTATTGTTATAGTCATTATGCACAATTGCACATATTGGTTATAATTACTTTGAGTCTTCATTGTGCATTTCAGCTTATGTTACATTTTTGGCATTTTGATAAATTGCCAAATTTTGTTAAAATATTACGTAAATCTTTGAGAGCACTATCACATTTTATGCTTCATTCACATTGAGTTGAGTATACTGATAAATCTTGTAAACCTTATTATTTTTTACAATTGTAAATTAGTATACACTGTTATATGTTGATGTGAATTACTCTAGTTCATTTAAATGCTAATTTAAACTTCGTTTGGGGCGGCATTCTTACTGCTTCTTAAAGCAATTTTTTAGTAAAAAAATAATTTTTTTGTTCTAGAAAACTGCTTTAAGAAGCAGTAAGAAAGCCGTTCCAAATGAAGCCTTAATGATATCGATGTATTGTAAAGCATTTGCATAAGAAGATATTATATGATTATAGGCTGTTATAGATTATGTATACATATTTATTGGGAGATAAAAATTCCGATTTAAAGGAATTAGACAATATATGCATAGGACGTCATAAGAGTCTAAATGATGGGTTCAATGAAAATGTAAGCTTACTAAAATATAATGATCTGATATTGTACATAAAAAATACTTGAGGATATAAGAGCTTGATTATGAATATATGAATAAATTAGGCCTATGATATAAATAAAAAGATGATAATTTTATTTAATGTATTTTCATAATGTATGCTCTTGCATTGCTATTATTATATAAAAAAAATTCTTTCCAAATAGATCTTATGTATTTATCGTCTGCACATCCAACATGCCATGACCAATTTGATATAATGATAGTGTTGTTTTTTCGTCGTGATAATTCGCATAAACAATCAAACAACTTGTATTTATCATCCATTGGTGAATCAAATCAATAGAAAATAAGTCAAGGCTGGGTAGCAACCCTGGCTACAACATTAAAAGGATACTCGAGTTAATGTCTAAAGTACGAATATAATTGAGCAAGTTCTTATCTTCATCATCTTTCTACGTATCCTTGGTATTCAATACTTGCAATTATTTGTTAAGACATCCTACAAATAAGAGAAATTTTGACAAAAAACTTCAAGTCATTTACATTCCCTAACTATTTCTATCATATTTGAGTATAAAAATAACGTTAGATTTGATTCATTTGAATGTGTAGTGGGGATCTGAAAAAGTGCCATTTTTATCATTTGATTTGAGAATTATGTTGTAGTTTTGGCATCCTAATCAAGGAAAACTAGTCACAAAGGGATTAGATTTGACCCGTTTCATCACATATTAAACTAAAAAGATGTTTTAAGAAGCAATAAAAAAACCCGTCTCAAACAAAGCCTTGAGATGACTTTTTTAATGCTTTTTAAAACAACTTCCTAATATAAAATTTTAATTTTTATACTTGGAATCTACTTTAAGAAGCAGTAAAAAAGCCATCCCAAACGAAGCCTAAGGCTTCGTTTGGGACGGCTTTTTTATTACTTTCTAAAACGGAGTTTTAGTACAAAAATAAAAAATTGTACTAAAACTCCGTTTTAGAAAGCAATAAAAAAGCCGTCCCAAACAAAGCCTAAGTCTCTTTTCTCTAACAATTGATCTCAAAATCACTTTTTCTTTATCACTACTTTTTTTCTAAGTTTTCAAAATTCTTCATTCTTAGGAGAATTTGTGCTTCTTTGGTGCTAACATATAGTCTTCAACTCCACTTGATCCTTATAAATTATTGGTAGTATTCAACTAAGGGTCAAATTTCATCTTTATTGGCACCTAAAATATGCAGGCATATCTATGGGACAAATTTTCTAAACCTCATCATATACATTTCATATTAGCCGTTAAATTTATTTTCCTGCTCAGCAACCAGTCGATGGCACCGCTAGCGACTAAGTTGAGCATAAAAATTTTTTTATTCCTTTGGCGTAACGGAAGTGCCATTAGTAGCGTATAAGACTTGTTATTGGAACTCGACTTTGTGAGGGTTGTGTTGTAATTGACGAGAATGGCCGAAAACATGACCCGTTTACTAAGGCGCAATAAGGACTTTTCCATAGCCAATGGAGTTAGTAGAATTGTTTGGATCTCCGGCAGTCAGCGGTGTGCGAGAGGAAGCCACCGAGTGAGAGGAAGTCGTCGGGTGAGAGGGGGCTTCATTTGGGATGGCTTTCTTACTGCTTCTTAAAGCAGCTTTTTAGTCTCAAGCAAGATTTATCTTTCTTTCCAACGGATATATTTACATTTGAATACAACAAAAAGAAATTAAAAACAATAGAAAATATAAATAAAGAACACAAACCATTTTTATAATTTATATAAAAATATATATAGCATCAAACTTATATTTATATAATCCAAATTCTGATCATTAATTTTTGTACAATTGGAAGTAAAATAACAAAATAATTCTTCAGACTTTCTTCACCCAGTGTAGAGCCTAAGGCGAGACGTAATGTTTGTTCTACAGATGGGACATTTCGACAGGTGATTCCCGCATTGTCTGCAGCACTGCATCCATGAATTCTTTGTTTATAAATAAGAGCTTCATATAATAAAAAACGTTGAAATTGATCGCCATTTGTAAGAAGGAAACTCACTGTATGGCCACATCCGAAGGCCAAATCCTTCGCATTTGTCCAGCAAATCGGACATGCCTGCTTTCAATTGAAGAGATTTTATTAGTTAATTTGATTTTGTAGTTTACTTTTTGAAGTATAAGGAAGGAAAGTTTCAATTGCATTTCCTCATATAATTTGTTTTTAAGGTTTTTGAAAATCATTTGATTTGTTTGGAGAATAGTGATGAACGCCCACTCAATCTCGATTTTCAGAGTATACAATTATATTTTTTGTTTCTAAAGTCGAAAAAAAAAGAGAGATTTAAATGATTCTCTCATGAAAAATTATTCTGCTTTCAATCAAGTTCGAGAAGTATTTACATGCACCAAACAAGGACAGGCTTCGCTAGACCATTTTGGCCCTAAAGGTTAGGCTCTATTGGATGCTAGATTATCTTAAACAAACAACAAATTTGATTCATAGCATACAGCAGGACTGACTGATTAGATTGCTATATACAAAAATCTATTTTCAATATCGTATTGGATAGAAAGAAGATCATTTCATATGTACGGGTTTACTAAAAAGCATCTAACTTCTTTCTTTATATACTATCTGTTCTCTAACCTCTTTTCAATCAAGTATCTTATTTCTTTTTAGACATCATATCCTTTGAGCAAAGCTATTTTGTCTTTCTATACGACGGATCTTCTTTTCTTTCACATTTCCCAAAACTCATTCGATGTATGAGAATTTATATTTCATTGATCTCAAAGCAAATCCGATAAATTTCAAGTCTATGATACCTATTTTATAAAGTACTAAGAAAGCTGTCTCAAATATAAGCTTCATTTGGGATGGCTTTCCTACTGCTTCTAAAGCCGTCCCAAACTAAGTCATAATCTTAATATTGTACTAATCTCAAATTAGATCTAAGAACTATGAGATCTACCTAATCAAGATTTTGGTTAGGATACTTAATAATTTATGAAGATATATATACCATTTTTTTTTGTATCTCTAGCTAGTGAGTTGGGAAACTTATTCACCTCGTTACGGTCATCAGCAATACTGGGATTTGAAGTGCTTGTTTCTCTCCTGAAAGATAATCGTTGTTTGTTTGCAGGTTGAGGAGGAGGTCTAAACGTTACTTGTTTGGCCTTCCCAGTCGTACGCCTGTATCCATTTAAGCGAGATAAATCAGCAAATATAATGAAATATGAACTACATATGAGCTTATTTTTTTGCTTGTAGATCAAAAATAATATCTAACAATGACCTTTTTGTATGATTGTTAACTCAATCCAATCAAATGATAGAATGTAATAATTTCATTTTATTTTTAAAATATAAGCTTTGACTTCAAACAACAAGTGAGGATGAATTATTCTGTGCCGACACCGGACGGGAGAACCGTCCGGTTTGTCTCTGTGAATAATAAAAGCACAGCTCACTGCACTTTTACTGTTCATGCTGCGCTTTTACTATTTACAGAGACAAAACAAGACAGTTCTTCCAATTCGGTGTCCGCACAGAATAATCTCCCATGAAGCTTAAGCTGAAACTAACTGCATATGTGATATAATAAATACCCGAGAAGGCCAAGTTCTTTCGTAGCTTTGTACTGGATGGGAACCTCCATTAGAGCAGCCAGTGCGAAAGCTGCTTCCTTCTCTGCTGGGCTAGCATTTTTGGCCATGATCTTGGAGAAGTTAACGAACTGCATTTTATTGTTTCTTAAATATTGCAATTGGAGTCAATATAGCATCATAAGAGAAAGAATAAAAACAATTTATGCTGATTCAAATATTCATTGATCTATATCATCTCTCACAATGCCTTAAACAAATTAACTTATCATAATTATAATCTGTTGTTAACTGTTGATTCAGATCAGTAGACCCATTAATATTGATTTGTATTAGTACTAAACAATATGAATAAAGAATAATACATTGAATAAAAAAATTGTAAGCTGCTTTCGCTAAATTATCACTTGTGCATGGCATACACGAAGACCGAATAAAGAGAAACTAATTTGTCTTTTTCGTTTGGGATAACTTACGAGTATCTTTGACTTTTTGATGTTGGAATGTTTAAAAAATTGTTGTTATTTTTTTCTTGTTTGAATGTTTAAATTGTTTGTTTCAAATTTAATTTGTTTTTTTCTCAGAAAATAAATTTGAAGAAAACATGAAAATGTTTGTTCATTTATTTCATTTAATTGACATTGTTTTTCTTTTGGCTATATTGTTCCACCAAGAAGCAATAGGGGTGTCAATTTTGGGTCATGGGTTTGGTTCGGGTAGAACCTGGAATTGACCCGAGTTCAAACGGGTCAATCCTAACCTGACCCGGGTAGGTAAATGGGTCGGAAATTCGAACCCGGACCCGACCCGGCGGGTTACCGGGTTGACCCGACCCGACACGGGAAGGCGGGCTGCGGCAGGCACGGACGCGGGCGCTAACACGAACGACCTGGCGTGGAAAAGCGGCAAGTGCAGACGCAAGCGGCAGGCGTGGCTGCACGGGGCGAGTGCACGGGCACGAAAGCGTACTGGACGGGAGCACGGGCAGCCGTGCGGGAGCTCGGGCAGGGTGCGAACAGCAACGGGCAAGCCCTCGGGCAGCTGGGAAGTCATTTCAAACATGTTTCGGGGTTGACCCGGCAACCCGTTAGGTCAACTCGGACCCTTTTTAGAAACGGGTCGGGTCTAACCCGAAAATTCTGGGTCGGGTTAGGGTCGGATTTTTGTGTCGTGTCAAATATTGACACCCCTAAGAAGCAATAACTAAGAGCCTCCGAATGAAGAAAGTTAAGAAAAACTTCTAAATTATTTGTTGGGGTTAGTTTGTTTGATTGATAAGGTCCTTAAAAAGTAAATTTTTTTCTGAAATTTTAATTTCAAATCTAGTCTACCGGTCCATTTAGGACAGTTGCGTTTTTTTATAAAAGTGATAGTAAAACTATTTGAAGAAAGTAGCTTTTTAGAAACTTACAGTAGAAAATAGCTCCCTAGCCCAAAAAATATAGAAAATAGTGAAAAAAACATTAGTCAAACAAAAGCTTTAATTGTGATCTAAAAGCAAAACAATAAAAAAATGTCTGAAATTAAGCCTAAGGATTCGTTTGGGACTGTTTTTTTACTACTTCTTAAAGCTTATTTACAGGGCAAAAATTAAAATTTTATATTAAAAAGTTACTTTAAGAAGTAGTCAGAAAGCTGTCCTAAACGAAATCTAAGTCACAATAAGTTAAATCTTATAAATCTGATTTTAAAGAAGAAATAAAAAGTCTTCTAAGTTATGCAATCCTTCAATATTTTTCTTATACAATCTTTCAATGTTTCTTCTCAAATAAAGAGAGAATTTGACTTGCTAGAGAGAGAGAGAGAGAGAGAGAGAGAGAGAATATGATCATACCTGAAAATTGTCAAAGGCTCGAGCTGGAATCTTATCATCAAATTTTTGCATGTCTTCCCATGGTCCATCCCCAACTCCTACTAATACAATTGACAATGGAACACAACTGACAAGAAAGAAGGCAAATTAATAAACATATATTTAGATGCGATGAACGAAAGTCAATTATCGAATAAAATCAATCAAAATCTGTAGACCAGTGCATGTTGATGGCTTCTTTAGGAAAATAAATAAATAGTTGTCACTGCTGATCTTATATAATTAACTAAGACACAAATTAAAGCACGTTTAAGTAGAAAATAACTTCTTATATTTTCATATTTTGAAAGATAATGATTTTCATTAGGGGTGTCAATATTTGACACGACACAAAAACCCGACCCGAAATTGACCCGCAAATTTTCATTTAGACCCGACCCGATTTCAAAACGGGTCGGGTTCGGGTTCCCGAATTCGACCCGTTTGAAAAATGGGTCGGGTATGGGTTGAGCCAGCGGTTTGGTGGGTCAACCTGAAAACCCATTTGAAATGCCTGCCGGTGAAGCTGCCCACGGTTGCCCGAGCACCTGCCCGCAACTACCTGCGCTTGCTACTCGCGCCTACCAGCCGCCACCCACACGCCCGCCAAAGTTGTCCGCTTGCGCACGCGGATGCCCGCTCGCCTGCTCGCGCGCGCACGCGGTTACGCTAATGCCCGCATCATCTGCTCACCTCCGGACTTGCTGCCCGCATCCCCCAGATCCGCCATCCCCTGTCGAGTCGGGTCAACCCCGCAACCCGCTGGGACGGGTTTGAATTTTCGACCTGTTAACCTATCCATATCGGGTTTGGGTCGACCCGTTTGAACCCGGGTCAGTTCCGGGTTCGACCCAAACCCAACCCATGACCCGAAATTGACACCCATAGTTTTCATCTTCTAATATCAGTTATTGCAAGCCAAATATGACATTTCATGTAGAACTAAAGTGACGAAGACATCAGTAGAAGATTTCAGTGCGTCTATCATAGGAGACATCGTAGATCGACGACAACAATCAGGGGAATCTATTTATGAGTTATTTTATGTTATTGTATTATTATTATTATTATTATTTATTTTAGTTGACCTTTGTACCACTATGAGGGAGTTTCGAGAGTTGTAGTTCGGAGGGCATATTTGTTGAGTTTTTTCTTCATTGTGGAGGCTTATATATAGTGGCCCTAGACTTTGTTTTGGTTTTTTTTAATGATTGCTTAAAAAAATTTCTTATTTTCTTCTCTCGAGCTTGTGAGTTATTGAGTGTCGAAGTCCCAAGGTGTGGGCAAAATAATACCCACAAGTCGTGGAGGTGCTCTGGACTCGTGGTCCGACTTTCCCCTTGCTTCATGCCGCTGGCCATCCCCTCCCCGTTGTGCCAAGCTGCCTTCTATCCCCTTCCCCAAACACCTGTCGGCCTACTCTCCCCCACCATCCCCTCTGTTTACCCCTTAACTGACCCCCTCCCCCACCCATAGCCGCCAGCCACTCGCCGGCTCCCCTAGCCATCTGCCGTCCCCTCCAAAACCTAAATCCCCAGCCTTCCCTTGAACCCCCTTGCCGCTAGCTACCCATCCAAAGACCCAATGGATTTTGAATTTCAAAATTCAAACTTCCTTGAATTCCTTTCCTAAAATAAGTCTTGTCAATTTGGAAATGATCTTTAGTTGAAATCAATTCCATATGAAAATTTCGAATACTTTTCTCTTTGATAATTTTTAATTAGGAAACCTCTTCAATCACATTAAATCTAAGATTAAATTCATATTTAATTCCAATATTCATTTAATGCTTATAGCCCACAAGCATTGATTTGAGACCCTCCCCCTCTCTCCCCATATGGCCGACCCCTTACCTTTCCTTTTTCCCTCACCAATCAATTCTCTAATTCAAATAAAATGCTCCCTAAACCCCTTCTAAACCTCCAGCCTCATTGAAATATTTTTGGGAATAGTTTGGAGTTTAAACTGCTTCATTTCCTCTCTGAACAAAATTATGAAATAAATTTCAGATTTTCTAAAATATCTTCCCCACCTCCCTAGCCCTAAACCCTAGTCGTCCACTCCCTTTTCCCGTCTACCCGAGAAACCCCACCGTCGGCTCCTCCCCTCCCTTCTCCCTTCACTAATCGCCGACTCCTCCAAGGTTCACACTAAAGAATACTCCAATGTTCATGGATGGACTATCCTAAAGCCGACCACGGATTTGCGTACGATTCTTAAGGCCAATTTGATATCCTTCAGTCTCCTTTCTTCAATCCCGACTGAGAGTTTGAAGATTCCGTCGAAGACTATGTCTACCACATTCTATTTCATCTAGCCGAGACAATTAATGAACAACGACCACCTAAACAGTGGCAACTCGTCGGACGTCCACCTGCTCCTCCTTCTCGTGCTACCTTCACATGGATCAAGACCGTCGGTGTCGTAACTTTCTTAGTGGCATCGTTTGGTTTGCTGAATATCTCTCTCTACTAAAGCCCTTCATAGAGTCTGAGTGAGAAATAAAACTCTAGGTGAAAAGCTCTTGATATTAACATGTGGATTATTATTACAGCATATCTTGTTTTATTGTATTTTCTGATATTGTTTTAAATTGATTTGTTCTCCTAAAATTGTAACTGCATGCCAGAATTTTTAGGTTTATAAAGCTTTAAACTATAATGATTATGAATTTATAGAGGATGGCATTTTCCGCTCTTTTTGACATCCAATATTCACAAAAGGATCAATTATATGCATAATGAAGGGTCCAATAAGAAAATCAGCTCGTTTTGAGCGGGTGAAAGCCGAATTCTTTTGGAAAGGGTTAAGAGGAGATGTGAGACCTCGTTCCCTTACTGTTCCTCTCTGACTTGGATTTTTCTCCCAGGATCGTCCGGGACGATAGTGAGATCGTCTAGGCCGATCTGTACTGTTCAAAATATCGTCCTGAAATAAGTTCTGGGAACCGTCCAGGACGATCCATTTTGGTCTAATCGCCCCGAGACGATTTGGCGATCGGCCGGGCCGATCAGCTTAATGATATTTTGGGGTTAGTATAACTTTCTATAAAGTCAGTTGTAAAACTGTTGTGAAAAATATAACTTTTATGAAACATTTTATGTTTTTTTTTAGAAAAAAAATACAACTTTTTTATAGCTATCACGACCTAAAAAATTAAATTGTAAAATAGTTTTCCACCACAAAAATTTTGAAAGAACGGAGAGAAATATATAAGAAAGCAATAGCCATATAAAAATATGATTGAAATTTTAAAATAAAAGTAGTAAGAAATTACCCCAATTATTAGCAACAATTTTTTCCTTTTTTTTTTTTTTTAAACGGGATATCCACCCACTATCATCCTTTAAAAGGCGTTTGACGGTGTGACTAATCCTCAATTGACCTAAAAGAGGCACTCACCCCAGTAACCTCATGACCCACACTTGATTGGACCCCACTTAATAGGCGTTGCCGCTCGACGGGAATCGAGCAGGACTTGAGAGGTTCCCAACCGTACTCGCCCACCAACCAAACTACGCAATGGTAGGTCCAAATTAACATATTAATGAGCATATAGTTGAATACCTTGCTATAACAATTGAGTTGATTGTGCTTTCCTCCTGTGGACTCAGATCCTTTCCTTCTATATCAACACTTCTGGTAACCTTTGCATGAATGGAATTTAATTTAATTAATCTTTAAATAATTTAAAAAAAGGTAGAGAAGATAGGGTGACTAACAAATTAAATTTACAAATATCACCTGCCCATCTGCTATAATAACCAAAACGTGATACTGTCCTCCGCTGTTCTCGACGATGTGAACCGCAGCATCTACTAGAGGTGCAAATGACGTCGGGCCTATCATGACAAAACGAAATCATGGTGGACTATTTTGGAAATATTAGATATGAAATAAAAGGGTTAAATCCTGAAACTGCTTGGTAACATTTATGATAAATCATGCGTATCTGTCATTAGACTATATGTGTCATTACTTATTGGACGACCACTAATACAGACGGCTCCACTAGTTTTACTCATGTTATTCCACTGAGTGGCTCAGTCTGTTTTATAACGGACTCTGACTTTCTAACTACCTATCTTTCCATTGTGATTATATATTGCTATGTAAATTGCTTTATCAAATACAATGGAAACACGATCTACAGTGATTATTGTTAGCTTCTTTTTCATTTAGAGTTTCTCATTTCTCTGTTTTCTGCTTTAGCTTCTCAACTGTTTGCCTATTCAATTCATGATTTAAAATGATTAAGAGATTTGACCTGCATTACTTGAATAATTAAAGTAAAACAGCAGAAGTTCAAATAAAATACAACAAAATTTTGATAAAAATACAGCAATAACATAGATTTAAGATTAGTTTATTAATTTTAAATAATCTTTTATTTAATTAATATTAATAGTTTTTAGAATTATCTAAATTTAAAAAAATAATTACGAAATAGTTGTAAAACCTCAAGTTCCCGAAATAGACTATTTAAACCATAAATCTAATCAACAAATGAATTATTTATTAATTAATCATTTATTAAATTAATTAACTCATCATTTCTATTTAGATAAATTAAATAAAAATAGTATCAATTATTTAAATTATTATTATTTATTATGATTTATTTTATTTTATAACTAATGTATATATATCTAGCTTTTTTAATTAAACATTTATAGTTATAGCTAATTAAATTTTTATGGAATTGAAATAAATTATAATTAGCATAATCTAATATCTTTATTAATTATTAATTAATTAAATATGATAATTTTCATTAAAATAAGTTATAAATAATATTAATTTACATGAATTAATGTCTAATTAATTAATAATTATTAATTATTGAGATTAGTTTACTCATTTTAAATAATTCTTCTACTATTTTCTCCTTTCTTTTCGTTGCCTACGCCAAAGTTTGCATTTCCCCTTTATTTCTTCGTTGATGTTCTTCTTCGGCTACTTTGTCGTTATTCTACTTCGCTCCTCGAAGACATTGCCTTCCTATTGGATCATAAGTTACAACGTACATTTTGATCGAAAGCAATGATGGGAGCTCATCACTTGCTGTGAAGGTAACTTTCTCCCTTTCGCGCGCTTATTCGGAAGTGTCATTGTCGACGAGCGATTGTGATCGGAGGGCCATAGTCAGTAGGCGACAAAGGTCAGACAGATCAAGCATAGGCCCAACAATGCTAACCAAATGGAGGACTATTTGTGGCGCGAATTCGTCGGCAGTTGTGCCAAGGTAGAGCTTTAGGATTCTTCAAGCCTCATAACTCTTCTCTTCTTTTTTCCTTTACACTCATGAGAAGAATGAATGTCTATTTATAGTTTTTTGGAGAAACATGTTTAGTAAATATATAGAAGATCCAAAGTAAATTTGGAGTATTCCATCGAATGGCTAATATTAATTTTATTGATTATGAAGCATTCTTTAAACATTTATATGTCTTACAGATGTCGGAATTCAACTATCTTGGACTTGTTGAGCATGTCATATTTAGTTATCCAATTAATGCTTTGTCAAATAGGTTTTTCTCTTTTAATTTGGATTCATTTGGGCTCGGATTGGATTGAATTTGGTGTCATTGGGTTTATTTGCCTGAGCCCAAAATTTAACAATTAATATATCTATCTAATTTTGATCTCTTTAATTTATACTACTAAATAAATACTCACTCTTCCATTGATATAACCAAATACAAGCCCAAATTTCAGGGAAAAAAATATTACCTGATAATTTCAAATTTGGAACAATTTTCCTGTAGCATTCGAGAACTTCCTCAAAGCCATGACAAGGAGAGTGATCGCCATGAAAGCTGAACACCTCCCTATCATGAGTTGTTGCTGCACCAACAAAAAATTTAAAAACCAAAACAAAACAAAATAAAATAGTTTTGCAGAAAATAACTCACCATCACCAAATCCAAAGCATGGGATGAGATTGTCTTCGTCAAATGGAGCTAAGGTCTTCCCTATTATGCTGATGGCTTCTTCATATGGATTTCGTTTATCACCAATTGCATGCAGGCTCTGGTTATTGAATGAGTATTTGCCTTTTTATAAGCAGAAAAAAAATGAGGTTATTAAATATTTTTATTTCTGTTGAGAAATTTATAAATCACAAGAAAGAAAATTTGGTTTTGTCGTTTGTGTATAAAACCTGCCCAATCATTGCTTTTTGTAAAATCAATTCCTAGGATCAAGTTTGATGACTCCAAGCCTGCTTCTCTTAGGGCTGCTGTAACCTGAATATTTTCAAATGGTTACGATATCACAAACTAATTAAGCGAGCATTAAGACTTAACAGAAGATTAAGGGGATGTTTTGTTTGAGGTAAATGGATGTAAAGTTCTTTAAATTAAAGAGTTTCAAGAATATTAGTGTTTGGTTTAAGTCTAAGAAATGAGCTAAAAAGATTTGGTTATAAAATATTATAAATGACATTTCTTTATTAGATTTAAATGAGAATTTGAGTTTTAACATGACACAATGGCGAAAAGGATTCATGTAGCCGACCTCACGTGGTGGGACAAATACTTGTTGTTGTTGTTGTTTAAGTAAAATAAATGCAGTATAAATGTTTGATGTATTTAAAGGGCACCATCTAACACAAATTTGGCGTAATTAAGTGGTAAAACCAACATTTATTTTGAGGGTGGTTAAAATATGATTGTGAAATGCATAATTTTACGTATAAATAGAAAAACGAAAAGGTTTTATAAGAATTTGGATAATTGCATTTATTGAAAGTGGACAAAAGAGTTAAAATATTTATTCTTTTAAGACAAAAAAACAAAGCCGGGCAGTTGCACACCATAAGCTCTTCCTATATCCACTATTGGTGTAATTGAATATCCATGGATTTGAACAATTTTCAATTACACAGTACATTCATCGTTATTGCCATCACAAGTCATTGTCGACCACCCCCACCACCCGTCATCAATCGCCACAACCACCTCATCCATTGTCGCCCATCCCCTATTTCGCCGCCGACAACCTAGCTCGCTATGGGTGGCGACCACCACACTAGTCGTTGTGGGCTCTAACCACTCATCACCATCATAGGCCCCTACCACCGGCTAACCACCGATACACATCGCTTCTCAGCATCATTGTTAGCCACTAGTGGTTATTGTCACTGCCTCCCTTGCTGGCTAGCACAACCACCGACCCGCCCTTGTCGGCACACCTCCGGCCACGATTGTTGACCACCAATCATAATCATTTTTAGGCTTTATACTGCATTCAATTTAATTTAAGCCAAACAATCAAAATATACTCATCCAAATAATGCCAAAAGTTTTCAGGTGCATTTCATTCATTTTACATTGTATTTCTTTTTTAATTGGCCACAAACAACCTTTAAATTATAAATTTAGAACAAAATCTAATATAATATGACAAGACAATTATTTATTTTTTATTATAAAATTTTTTTGAGTTATTTTAATGTATTCTTACAGAATAATTATATTATTCTCTTGGAATAGTAAATCATTAATTATAAAATATGCGGTTTAAATTAAAAATATTGAAAAATGACATCTTTTTTAACAAACGATCTTTTTTTTTTTTTTTTTTTAAAGTTTTAACCAACGACGATGAATCCTTCCAAAATATTATATTATTTTAGCCTTATTTTTCTCACTCATAATATAATTTTTTATCCAAAAAAATCATGAAATACAAATCAAATTCATATGAGAGCGCGCCAATAATTTTTCTTATATATTTTCGTTCATATATATGAAGAAAATAACATGAAACATCAATATATCGAAGGCATGAATTAACCTGGTCGAGAGAGTTATAGTTGTCAGGTATGTACGAGTACTTCCTAGTTATCATTCTCCTATTCGCTTCACTGTTTCTGCGACTCGTGCTCGGTTGATCTGTTATAACCCCTGTCGCAGCCGACGCCGGCGATGGATCCCGGCGATCAACGTCGCGCAGATTCCGGCCACCCCGGCCAAAGAAACCTCCTAAGAAAGCCCCCATGTTAGTTTTTATTCGAATGAGTGGAGAGAAGATAACGAATTGATTCCTGTTTTCTTGTAAAGGATAAATGAATGGCCTGCCTTGCAAAGTTATAAAGAGAGAGAAGCTAACCCCAAGAAAGTGCGAGGAAGATGTTCTTTAGCTTTGCTTTTGGCCCTCCAATCGGACAAAGGAGAACCTTCTGCGTTTCTTCCACAAAGTGTTGTCTTTTTCACCTGCCACTTCATGGATATAATTTTAGATGAACTTTTTAAAGACTTGGGTCTTCTAATTTCGGAAAATTGTAATATATAAATAATTAAACTTATGTAAAATTTAATGTAGATTTAAGATTTTGTAGCTTAATTACAATATTATTCAATTAAGCTTTCACGGTACTTTTTTTATCCTATCGATTGTGGTTAAAACGCCTATAATATTTTTAGTAACGGTTTATAAATCTTTGGACATCCGTTATATTTGTTATTGCTGCAAACCGGCTTTTGCACCCTATATTAGACATTTGACAGCGTTTTTTTAGCAATTGTTTTAACCGCTACAAATCTGCTACATTATAGCGATTTTAACTCCTACAAATATGGACAATTAGTTTATAGTAGCGGTTTTAACACCTAATACATTTTTAGTAGTGCAACATTTTTATTTACACATCTCAAGTGTATTAAAATGCAACTAAGTTAGGCTCGGACACCTATAATTATGGTTGATCATGATTGTGGTCGGGGAAGATGATAGGCGATGGTGGGAGACAGCAGCAGGCAAAAATAGAGGTGGATGGTGGAGGAGATCGAAAGTGTGCATGGATAGGCAATCATGATATTATGGGTCAAGCCTTTTCATTTTATTAAAAATTCATCAAATTTAAACAAATTTTAAATATTAAAAATGGTCTCATTGTAGGGTATTTCAAATCCTTATAAATTATTTATATTTGAATTACTTCATATCAAATATAAAAAATATAAGTGCATTTCTTTTACTCTACTTCTTAATACTTTGAACTAAGCTTAATAATTTTATATTTGTTGTTAATTTGAATGTATTTATAAAAAAAATAATTTTAAAAAGAAATATGCACAAATATTTAACCAACACTTTTACTCTTTCATTCCATTGAAAAAAAAAAAAGAGATCATCAATGAATCACATGGCCACATGCCCGCACATGTTAACATTTAATTTCTCATCCATCGATTACAGAGTTCACAGTTTTCACTATTTTTTTTCCTAAAGTAAACTGAAATTTAGAGGGCATAAATGTCATTTATTCTGCTTTAGATAAAAAAGGAAGTAAAAACAAATCTTGTCTTCTGTATGAGCCCACAAAGTCAAGTAGTCAAAGTCATGATATTGGAGTGGGGTTGATGGAAGCACCGACGCAGACGCAGACGCAGACGCAGTCATAAATTATATTTTATAATAATTTGAACTCTGAAGACTAATTAGTTTAATTTTTTAAAAATAAAATATGATAATAATACTTTTCAATTTGATATCGATTAATTTTTTTAGATGATATAGAAGATATAATAATATAATATATTAATAACATTATCAATAATTTGTAATGAAATATGCCGCATGACTTTTGGATTGTGAGTCAAAAGGTAATTATATTACTTTAATGGCTCTATTATGCTTTGATTAACATACGTATTTAATATGACTTATTTTATTATTATATTGTTTATATTTTCATTAGAAATTATTAAATTATCATTAAAAATAAAAATATAGTGATTTCTCATTATTTAAAAAGTAGTTTCTGCCAAATGATTATTGTAACATGACGTATAAGTTGGAGGTATAAATGAGTAGAGTCGAGTGTGCCTAATCAAGCTAAGCTTGTTTGGTTGTAGTTGAACTCAAGCTCATTTATTAAGCTGAAACTCGACTCATTAAAAACTCCATAGGATCGAGCTCGACTCGATTGCTCAAGCTCGTTTTAGAAAGCTCGAGCTCGATTGGATTGATGAAAACAATTTATTAGTTTTAAATTTAAAATTCGGATTCTTTTAGAATTTTTTAATTTTTAATATATAATTAATTTAAAATTATTAAAATAAATATTATATAATACTAATTAAATTATATTATCAAAGACATTTTGATTTAATCAAGTGCTCAACGAGCTTTCGAGCTAAGTCAGATTTGAGCTCAAGCTCATTTAATATACGAGCTCAAATATAGGCTTGAGCTTGAACTTGAGGGCCGATAAATTATACTCGTGATCTTGTTAACGAACCGAGCTCGAACCAGCTCGTGAGTCGGCTCGAATCATTTACACCCCTAAATCCTAATACAACTATTGCATCAATATATTTTTTACGCATTCAAATTTAATTTAGATATTAATTTATTTGTTCCATATAAATAAATTGAAATAATGTTGTTCAGAGGATTAATTTTCTTCAATAGTCCAACAAATTTGTTGCAACATTGTGCTGCATGTTAAGCTTTATTTTAATGCTAGGGCATCTCCAACCAAAAAGTTCATTTTTCACGGTAAAGTTACGCAAAACTCCAAAATGGCGCCGTGATGCTCCAATCGAACGCCATTTTAGGTGTTTTTGAAAAGGTAACGATCGTTCTCCCTTTCGCGCGTTTTTCCGGTCGAGAGCAAAAAATGGCGTGAGTGAACATTGCGACGCCAATATTGGCGTCGCACTGTTCACCTGCGATTAAATGTCAGAAATTTTCGCATTCGGTTGGAGCGACGGAACGACTCGATCCATACACTCGTTTAGCGTTCGGTTGGAGATGCCCTAAGCATCATAAAAAATGACTAACAAACCAGAGTAATTAGTACAACAATCCCATTGTAGTTGTTGAGTTGCATGTAATAATTTATAAAACTTTTCGGCTTTAATGCTAGGATTTTCATTTGTATGTTATATAAATTATGGGCTAATTGTATATAAAATATCTTCTATTCGTATCTCATAGTAGTTTTTATTATTATTGTGTGGCTTGTCGAAACACGATGCCTAGAGTCAATTTGTTTGCTTATACCATCTATGTGATGTCCAAAATAAATAATTTGGAATCCTCTTTGATTTAAATATAGTGTAACCTCTTCAGATGTAAGATGCGCTTCATTTTTATATTTAGAGCATGAATATCAAATTGAACATTTTAGTGAGATCGACAAACCCAACAATACTAAAATCGATCTAATTGATCCCAAATTGGTTCAAATCAAGGGCTTAAAGTATATTTGAAAGCTTTGAAGTATTAATTAAATAACTGAATGAAATTCAAATATGATATTTTTTATAGTCGAATGAAGTGCCAATCCAACGAGCTCAATATTTCTTAATTCTGATATCATTAAGACACTTAAATACTAACAAATGCTATATGATCGATATAGTCATTATGGGCCGTATGATGGAGCACTCCCAATTTATCCTGCATATTCTCCATATTTACGTAACATGTTATTTTCAAAATATTTAAATATACTTCCTCTTTTCGCATGAAGAGGGGCTTGAAATTTTGGAGGTTTAGACCCTAGGTTAGAGACTCAGGAGAGCGCATAGCTTGAAACATTTTTAAGCTCCATCCTATCATAACCAGTGGCAGAGTCAGAAATTTAATTCAAAGGGGTCTAAATTAAAATAATTTTGTTTATCGTGACATCTTGAATGTTATAATACATTAAAATAGTTGCCCATGAGCCTTTGGTGGTTCTTATTAGAATATCATATATATTTACATTTCCTATCTGTATAACCTTTTATGTGTCCTTTGTGTAGCTGTAGGATAACACTTATAAATACTCAACGTTGTACTTGTAAAGATCAATAATAAAAAATATGAAAATAATTCTTTACTTTCCCTGTCTTCTTCTTCTTGGTGCTGCAACCGTCTGGTTCTTGCTCTATTGAATTCTACAGTTCTCATTTGGATTGTCTTGCTCGATTAAGAGCACAATATATAGAAGCTGAACACTCAATAGAAGAGCCAGAAAGAACCAAATTTTATTCATTAATTTTTAATCAAAGAGGCTGAAATGCTAGCCATTCAAAAATGCTAGTTAATAAAAACAATTATTTTGGTTTCTTAACGAACCGGAATATAAAAATCAAGTTTCTTAAGAAATCAGAATTTCTTAATTTCGTTTTCTTTTCAAATCACAAATTAAAAAAAAAATTATGGAAACTGGAGAAGTGAATAAAAAAATTAAGAATTTATAGAAACCGGAGAAGTAAAATCCGGTTTCCGATCAAAATAGAAATTAGATTATGAAGTTCAAGTTTCTATTAAAAATGAATAATTAAGTTTCTTATTTGCTCATTTTTAAATTTTTTTGTTAGTCTACTCCTTAAGCTAATATAAAAAAAAAATGCACCTTTTTATAATTTTTTTTTTTGCAATACTTTGAATATAATTTGCACTTAATTATAGCATAAAGTTTCTGAACTGAATGAATCACTAAAATCAAGTAAAAGCGTAAATATACTAAACAAGTGTCTTTTACCAAAAAATTTGTTTGGATCTAAAATATGAAAATATTTATACCAAAAATAAAAAAGATAACTTAAATATAACCTAAAACATAAATATTTTTCAAAGATAATTTTGTAATATAAATCAAAATAATGATCGAATGATTAAAAAAATTGTAATCACTAAATCCGAAAAGATAGAAGCCTAAATAAATAAAAAAATAATGGATAAATATCAAATTAATTAAAAATAACATATAAATGTGATTTATCTTCAGATCTATCGAATAGTTGAAGAAATTTGGCAAAAAAATTACCTAAAATCAATGGCGACATTCATGCTGGGCAAATGTTGGCCTAGGAGGTCAGGTGGTTCAGGTCGTGCGAGGTTGAAGACATACGCTTCATTTAGAATAGTTTTTTACTGCTTTTTTTAAAAAAAACAGCTTTTAGTACAAATATTTCTCAAAGTAAATTTTAATATAAGAAAATTTCTTTAAAAAAAATTTTTAGAATAAAATTTTATTAAACTAAAAATTTTTATACTGAATTGTAAAGAGAATGATAAAAGAAAAAAAAGAGTTAAAGAGACAAAATTCTTCCACTTTAGATCCCGAGGTTGATAACAGTCCACTTGATCTTAGTCACTTG